ATTGCATGTTCATCAGAGACTGCATTGGACAACGTTCTCACCAATATTACAGATTATAAGCTAAAAGTAGATGGTATTAATACACAAATTTCTGACCATGATGGATTGTTGGTATTTATTGAATGTGATAATGTCAAGGATGTAAATTCAAGTAAAAATAAACTAAATAAACATATATTAAGAGATGCTAGGGATTTTTCTAAGGATAATTTAGACTTGTTTGTAAAATTAGTGAGTAAAGAAAATTGGATGCATGTTTATATGGCTACAGTCGAAGAAAAGTATTCTGTTTTTTACAATATTTTTAAGTTCTATTTTGATCAATGTTTCCCTAAATTTAAAAAACGCTGTAAAATCAAATACAACAATTGGATTTCACAAGGGTTAAAAAATGAAAAATCAAAGATTATTAGACTGAGTAAGACTGCTCGGGCTTGTAATGATAAAGATCTTTGTGATAAGGTTAAGAGATTAAATAAGGAGTTCAGAAAGAAAATTATACATGCCAAAAGACAGTTTTACACTAAAAAGGTTAGTAATGCTGAAAATGTATGTAAAGCTACTTGGAAATTACTTACTTAATGCTGAAATCTCAAATAAGAAAAAGAATGTTAGCAATATTGAAATAGATTTTGATGGAATCTTGTACAGAGACCCTAAAGAGATAAGTTGTATTTTTAATGACTTTTTTAATAGCTATGTTAATTCATCAATTATTCCTCAGCTAGCTCAAAATGATAGTTTTCATGGGGGTGAGACTTGTCCAAGCTTTCAGTGTCCTCCAACGGCTAAATTTAAATTGAATGCTGTATGTGATAATGATATATTAAGTATTCTAAACTCTTTCGATAATAAACTATCAACCGGTTACGATGAAATACCTATGACAGTATTAAAATATGCTGGCAAACAATGGTCAAACCACTTGTTCATATAATAAACTCCTCTTTCTTGAGTGGAATTTTCCCTGAAAAATTAAAAGTTGCCAAAGTTAGTCCTCTCTATAAAAATGGAGATCCAAAAAATATAACAAATTATCGACCATTATCTTTACTGTCATCATTTTCTAAATTATATGAAAAAGTTGTTTATAACCAATTAGTAACTTATCTAGAAGAAAACCATTTGCATGATGATGAACAACATGGATTCAGACCAGGTAGATCTGTTATAACTGCAGCAGTAGATTTTATCGATTCAATAATAAACTCAGTGGATAAAGGGGATAAAACAGTGGGCATATTTTTGGACCTGACTAAGGCCTTTGACAGTGTCTCACACCAGCTTCTTTTGGGGAAGATCCGAGATTTGGGTGCCGACAGCAGGTCATTGAAGTGGTTTCGATCCTATTTAACTCAGAGATCTCAGTATGTTGAAATGAAGCAATTAAAAAATAACGTTTTTTCAACCTCCTGCTCAAAGTTATCTATTATTCAACATGGGGTCCCACAGGGTTCGATTTTAGGACCTGTTTTATTTCTTTGTTACATCAAAGGAATGCCGGGGTCATTTCAAAACAATATATTTAATAAAATAAGTTTGTATGCAGACGATGCAAGTTTAAAAGTAAGCAGTACATCTGTTTCTGGTTTGGAATGTAACTCTTTGAATTGCCTAAAATCAATAGATGCTTTCTTAAACTATCATCAATTACTTTTAAATTCCAATAAAACCAACTTTATGGTATTTTCAACAGGTAAACAAAAAAATCCAATTGATCCAGTGATTAATTTTAAAAATTCTAATCTTAATCAAGTTACTACAACTAAATTTTTGGGCTTAGTAGTTGATGAAAATCTTTCATGGAACTCCCATGTTGACCATGTTGTCAGCAAAATCACATCTGGAATTTATGCAATTTATAGAATGTCTAAATTTTGTTCAAAAGATATTTTGAAAAAGCTTTATTTTGCTTTCATTGAATCCGCAATATCATTTGGCATAAGTGTTTATGGTGGAACATCAAAGAAAAATTTGGACAGAATTTTAATTTTGCAGAAAAGAGCAATAAGACTAATGTTGAATTTAAACTGGGATGTTTCCGTACGTGATCATTTCTTAGCCATGGGTATAATGACTGTGTACGGCATTTATGTTTTCCATACCGTTCTTTTAACAAAAAATCTTTTGTCTGAAAGTATGTTACCTAAACTAGGGGATAATCACGAATATGGCACCCGACATAGAAACAAAATTGCTGTTGGTGCCCATAGATTGGAATTTTATAACAAAAAACCGTCATGTGCTGGAAGAAAATTTTTGGAAGGGCTTCCAGAGGGGTTGAGGAAAATTGATGATAGTAAAAAATTTAAATCCCAGCTTAAAATATACTTAACACAAAAAGTACTGTATAATTTTGATGAACTGTACAGCTGATATTATGTTGTAAGTTTAAGTAGTTTTAAGAATTTTGACGCCATTCAATGTACATACTTGTATGATTTATGAATAAAGTTATTTTCAATTCAATTCAATTCAATTCAATAATGAAGTTTATCGGTTGTTAACAAAATGTCATCATTTTTCAAACCATGTAAACCTTATAGTTTTCCAACTGTTGCTTTGTTTATTTTTTCTTTTTATGTTATTTTTTTTACTTTATGATGTTTCAATTAATGGTACAAATATTCATAGTATCAAATCAAATCAAATCAATTTATTGTTGTAGACATTTCACAATGCATTAACAATCGTCACAAAATACATAATGCTGTTATTAAATACAGCAAATGAATACTTTCATGTAATCAATCAATATAATACGACAGTACAATAAAAAATTATATATATACATATAAAATACAGTCACAATTAAATAGAAATATTTTGACATGTGAAAAAATCCTCCACCGTATACGGGCATTTTTGTGTTAAATATGTCTTCATTTTTGATTTGAAAGTGTTCAAGGACAACTCCCGAGACTCCACTGATAAATTATTAAACAATTTAGCTGCCATGTATTGAATGTTTGTTTGACTCTTTGACTATTTACAAAGCACTGTTTGCAAGTTGTCTTTAAATCTGGTTTCATAATTATGTTTATTTGAATTTTCTGAAAAAATTGCCAAATGATTTTTTACATACAACAAAACTTGAAGAATATATATTGCAGGTAAAGTTAAAATTTTGAAATGTTTAAAAATAGGTTTACAGTGAGTTCTAGAGCGTACACCACTTACAAGCCTTATTGCCCTTTTTTGCAATTTAAATAACTTTTTGGAATATGATTGGAAACCCCACACCAATATTCCATAACTCAATAAACTATGTATCTGTGCATAATACACTGTTATCATAACATCTTGTGTTACACAACCTTTTAATCTTTTTAAACAGTATACACCTTTTGACAGCTTGGTTGAGGTTATGTCAATGTGATCCTTCCAATCTAGTTTTGAATTTAAATTAATTCCAAGAAATTTTAAAGATTTTATCTCATTTAATAGGGGCTGCCTATTTGAGAAACAAATTTCCAAATCTTGCAATTTATTTAGATTTAGGCATAATCTATTTGCATTACACCACTGATAGATCAGATCTGTAGCATTTTTCAGGATGTGATTCATTTGATCTCTAGATTCAGAACAAACATTCAAGCCTAGGTCATCAGCGTAAAGAAAACTATTAATATTTTCACCTAACAAATTGTATGGCAGATCATTGATGTAGATATTAAACAGTAGTGGCCCTAAAGATGAACCCTGAGGAACACCAACGTCTATATTTTTTCCTAGAGATAGCTCATTTTTGAAACTAACAAATTGATCTCTATTTTTTAAATACGAATTGATAAGTTTAATTGAATTGTCTTGAAAACCATAAAATTTTAATTTGTGTATTAATATGTTGTGATTAACAGTGTCAAATGCTTTTGACATGTCAAAAGAGCGAAAACAAACCAGTCTTTTGTTCTCTATATTTTTAACCACATCTATGACTAAACTAACAACAGTATCATTTGTGCTCTTCCCAGAGCGAAACCCAAACTGCCTATCAGTAAACATTTTATTACTTTCAATGTATTCATACACCTGGTTATACATTAGTAATTCAAACAACTTTGATATGGTTGGTACAATTGATATTGGTCTGAAGCTTTCGTAACTATCATTATTTTTCTTGGGAACTGGAACCACTTTAATTTTTTTAAGTACTGTTGGGTATACACCCTTTTCTATCATCCTATTAAATATTGTGGTCAATACTTCACAAATACTAAAAGAAGCGTGTTTAAGAATAATTTAATTCAATCTATAGATATCTAAACATTTACTTGTACGTAAGCTATTAATAGTTTTAAAAACTTCTTCAACTGACACAAATCTAAACTCAAAAATATGCTGTCTCATATCTACTTTTTCAAGAAATGAAGTGAAATCAGGTTCATGCTTATTTATCTGTATGTTTTTTTGCAATTTGATGGACACTTGATATAAAAAACTTATTGAATCCTTCAGCTGTAAGTTCTGAAATTCCCAAGGACATCCTCAAATGGTTGGATAGTTTTTTAACAAGCGACCACACAGCCTTTGTTTTATTTGTACTTTTAGATATTAAACTGTTATTGTATTCAATTTTGGCTTTCTTAATTTTCTGTATATATTTCTAAACAAGAACATATACCCATGTATATATAACTAATGAAGGTTCCATAAGCATTTTACACGAGAGAACACTGTTCGGCAAGTAGCCGGTCATCGTAACCGGTCATCATGAAGGAGCTTGGATGTTGTGCAACAGCGCTGAGCTATATTGGACGTCGTGCAACAGTCAAATATTTATTGGACGTCGTGCAACTGGCAGCGACTTTGGATGTCGTGCAAATGTTACTTTTTTACAATTCTATAGTGCGCTGTTTCACGACGTCCAAAGCTTGTAAAAAGACTATATTTTTGGCAGTTACTTTACTCTTGGACGTCGTGCAATGCATCCATTAATAATATAGATTCCATTGAAAAATTCAATTTTCCATTTCCATGTTACATATTTTTTCCTACAGGTCTTTAAAATCCAAAGAACATGAGTTGGAATGCTGTCGAAACCAAATGTTGGGATATGAAAGAATGGTGCCCACTCTACAATCAGAATTTGAAGTTCAGCGAAAAGAATTACTGGAATATAAAAAGAGGTGTGAAGACCAAAAAGAAACCATCATCAACATGGTAAATTTATTTTCATGCTTGAGAAATTTGTAACTACCCAAAACCCGTCAAGGGGTAAAAAAAATCAGATTTTTAAAGTTTCATTTTAACTTATCATAATTTTCTACGTTCGGGGTAAGCCGCGCCCGCGTTGTCAGCGGCATCGTAGGGGAAGGGGTCCTACGTCATCGTAGAGGGGAGGACGCTAGTTATCTACCCCGCCGCCAGGGGCAATGGCGAAGAAGGACCAGAAGAGCAGACCTCATGATCAGTTGTCCACCCGCTACCAAACCGTCAATAGGCTTGCTGTTTGGAGATAAAACCAACAGTCAAACGTCTTAACTTCCTGTCATTTTGGTCAGTTAAAGATTTCCCCCAAACCTGGTAGAGTCCTAAGGCACCAGGTTAGTGTGCTACCGAGTTTGTTTTGTTTATTATAATTGTGGAGAAGTTTTATTATTTTTATTTTATTGTGCCGTGGTCGTGCACACCCCGCACGCTTATTCACGTACGAGCACACCGCCTTTTGACTCTAACCAGCTTCGGAAATCATTTAAGTTGCCAGAACGGTTTACGTACAACTTATTCTATTACCCCGAACAGTCTTACGTTAATTTGATCTAAGAAACCCCGTATTGACTCTGGTGTTCGACCGAGTCTATTTTCCCGACACGTTTACTTTGGCAATAACCAAGGATAACGACCGATTCACACTTTATTTAAGTTTCTATTTAAATACGTTATGTCCACGTTCACGATAGGTTATTCAAAATTCTAAATTTAGCTTCACATATTTTTCGAGTGGCTATGATGAGCACTTGTTAAATGTAAGCTTAACATTGTAAGCATTATTGTTGTAATTAATATTCTGAGCCAATAAACTCGAAACAATAATTAAATAACGAACACGTTACAGTCCTAGACTATCTCATTGTAGGCTAGGCTATCTGGACAAATTTAAGGTGTGACCTAATTTCAGGTAAGACGACAATTAGGCATTCTAAAATTAGAGGTGTGCGGATAGTGAAATTTCATTTCGGATCGGATAGTTGAGGCTCGGTTCGGATCGGATCGGATATTGGGAGGTTCGGATTCGGATAGTTCGGTGCGGTTTATAATAAGCTGCATATGCATTTTTGATGAAATGAGGGAATAAAATACATAAAATATTTGATTAATAATTAATGTAAAAAGTAAAGATATTAAAACATTAACGCTTCAAACTGTGAACATATTAGGACAACAACAAAGTATAATCAAGCAGCTGATATTAAAAGACACATTATAAAGATATTTTATTATATAGCATTAAGCAAAGCAATACTATAAAAAATCCTCAACATTCCCCCTTAATCAAACATCTTTTTTTTATTTAATCTGAGTCTTTAAGTCCCAAGTCCGTCACAAAGTTATTAAATTTTTCACGTGACAATGAAATGGTTAAAATATCAGCCGTCATATTTTCAGTTGGCAAATACTTAATTTAAATGCACTTCTTAACCATATTCTTGACCTTTAGCAACAAGACGTGCTTTGAACTTCTCACGATCACCATCTACATTTTTCTTAGTTTTATAAACCCACTTGCGTTTAACCACATTTTCATTCTTCGGACGATCAACCAACTCCCAAACATTGTTCTTAATTAGAGAATTATACTCTTTATCCATGATATTCATCCATTCTTCTTTGAAATTGTTTTCAATTGCCTCATTAAAAGTTTGTGGTTCTGCGAAAACATCAACAGCTTGATATGAAACGAAGTCGTTCATCCATAATGGTTTTCTGCGATCACGTTCAGGTCTTTTATCTTCAATCAAAGAATTTCCTTCTTCCAAAACTTGCAAATTTTCATTATGTGAATTGTCTAGATAAGAATTTTCATATTCTGACACTTTCTGTTCACTTTCACTGTTAGAATGAACAAGACTTTCTTTGTTGTCAACAGATGTTATATCATTGTTTGGTTCTTCCACTAGTTTAGTTGTGCTACTGTTTATAACAGTGTATTCAACTTGTCGACTTTCATTTTTCAGGTCATCATTCACATCAGAGGAATGACATTGGTCTTCTTCAAAAACAACATCACGTGCTTTTATAATAGAATAAGGTTTCTTAGGATCAATTAGTCTGTAGCCTTTGGAATGTTCACAATATCCAACCATAATACAAGGCTTTGCTTTTGTGTCAAGTTTCTTTCTGTAACATTTGGGAATATGAACATAAGCTTTACAGCCAAAAACCCGTAAGTGACTTAGATCAACCTTTGAACCAGTCCAAACTTCCTCTGGTGTTGCATCCTTTAAAGCTGCTGTAGGACTACGATTCTTCAAATACATAGCTGTGTTTATAGCTTCTCCCCAGCTTCTCCCCAATATCGTTTTCCTAAACCTGAATCTTGAAGTAAACATTATATCAAGGTTAGACTGTATGAATTTTCTGTCATATCATGGGGACGTCCTGCAAGGAGTCAGAAGGAAATCTTAAATAGGAGCATAGGTCAATATGCACATCAAATGAGAGGTCTTTTTAGTAGAATAAAATGCCACAAACCGCACTTCAAAAGGATGATCCTGCGCAAAATGGCGGCCGTTCAAAGATTTCTTGAATCCGCCATTTTGAATCATTGAACGACTGCCATTTTTTACTCAGGCATTCTTTTGAGCTTGAATTTACAGCATTGTAATCTACTAGTGAAGACCTTTAATTTGATGTGCATATCGACCTATGCTTACATTAACCATTTTCTTCCGTTTCCTAGGGCTGTGCCCTCTGAGGAGTTTGCGTATAATAGCAATGCAAATTAAATTAATCTTTGAACAACTGTCATTATTGGCTCGGTTGTCTGTTTGAGTTCAAATTTGCGGCATTATATTCTGCTAGTAAAGACCTTTAATTTGATGTACATGCCAACCTATGCTTCTATTTAAGATTTCCTTCTGACTCCTTGCGGGACGTCCCCATGATATGACAGAAAATTGATAGTTCCTTGAAAAAGTAGATTTTTAGGTGTGGTGTTGATGTACCAAATCTTATTGATTTATCTGTTGTCGTTTAGAAAATATTAAGCCTGTGCGGGACTTTATATACACCCTGTATATTATTTTGAGTTGTGTTTTCCTAAGAAATTATGTAGAAAATATAGACATAGAAGGTGGTTTACTGATGAGCTAAAAATTTAAAATCAATCAATTATTGAGTTTGCTAATAATGCTAGAATCTTAAAAAGTAAAATTAAGTACAAACAACTAAGATTGAAGATTAAAATGTTTATAAATAAAGTTACTGCTGCAAAAAAAACTATATTATCAAAATAAAATAAACAACTCAAGTAACATGAACAAAACCAGCTGGCAAAGTATTAACTCTAAAGTCGGTAAGGCAAAAGCAGATAACCAAATTACTAGTGTTCATATTAACAACCAATGTTGTTCAGACCCTTATATTATATGTAATTCATTCAACAATTATTTTAATGATTTGGTTGACACACACATTGTTTCTAACTTGGATTCACTTATTGAGAATGTTTAGGACAGTCTAAAAGTAGTTGAGTTGGATCATATAATTCCGGGTATTCATTGTAGACCTGTTGATGAGAAAGAGGTTTACGAAATAACAAGTCATCTTAAAAACTCCCTGTGGTGCTCTTCAAAAAAGCAAAATTACCCCCCAGAAAACCTATAGCTTTTTTAGTAAATCCTTCCTTTGTATCAGGCATTTTTCCTAATAAACTAAAAATTTCAAAATTCATTCCTTTATTCAAAAATGAAATAGATATGAAATATCAATTTACCGTCCAATTGCACTGCTTTCCGTTATGTCCAAAATATTTGAGAAAGCCTTTATATAATTTCCTGGAAAGTAATCACCACTTTGAGGACTGTCAACATGAATTTCAAAGTGGTAGGTCAGTTTTGACAGCTGCTAAAAAGTTTATAGAGTCAGTTATTGATTGTTTAGATGAAAAAAAGGCTCTTGGTATTTGCATGGATTTAACCAAGGCATTTGACTATAAACCACAATCTGCTTTTAAATAAATTGTCTAGCATTGGGATAGATAATAAATCTCTTCAATTGCTAGAATAATACATTTCAACATTTGTAATAGAAAACAATTTGTAGAAACTATCTAATTTAATAATCAAATGAAAATTACTCATAAGTCAAAAATTAGAACTATTAAATATGGTGTATCACAGGGATCCATCTTGGGTCCCCTATTATTTATTTGCTATGTTACAAACCTACCAGGGCTGACTAAATCTAGCAAACTTTACCTTTATGCAGACAATGTAAATCTAAAAGTTACCGCTAATTCTGAAAGGGAAATTGAAAAGACAGCTTATGCTAATCTCGATATACTTTCAAAATTCTCCAAAACAATCAGTTACTTTTGAATCCAGAAAAAACAAAGTTCATAAATTTTGAGACCCGTCAGACAAGCATTTCAATTAATCCTTCACTATAAATTAATCAGAAAACTCATTCAAGAATTAGAAAATATTAAATTCTTAGGACAACTTGAAATTGATAAAAATTTAACTTAGAATTCTCACGCAAACAAAGTAATAAAAAAAATGTATCTGGTCTATTTGCATTAACTAGATTAAAAAATCTTTTTTATCAAGTAACATTAAAATCGATATACTTTTTGTACGTACATTCTGTTATTTCTGTTGGAATATCTCTGTATGGCGCTACATCTATCAATAACTTAGAAACAATCCTAAAATTACAAAAAAGAGCTGTAAGAATTATTTTGACCTTGACTCAAGAACTTCAAAAGAGCATTTTAGATCATTAAAAATAATGACATTATGTGGATTGTACATCTCTATGATACACTTCTATCTGTTTTCTAACAGATTTTCTCAATTGGCGTTAACTGGTGAACACCGTTAAGCGTGTACACTGTTGTAGTTTGCTTGTTTATGAACATATTTTTATCAGATTTTGAAAATGTATTTATATTAGCCTACTAAACTATTAACATTTCATTAAAATATATTCTTCCCTCCCTGTTTTGTTAAACTAATGTTAATTATTACAAAATAGGGACTAAATATTTAATATGATATTTTTAAAGAGATATTTTAGTGTATCCAATCAGGCTGATGGAAATTAGCTTAGTCTGATGTTTGCATTAGAGACAGGGGTTTTATTATTTTGATAAAGCATGGATTAGGCCCGCCAATTGCTGATAGTGTTGTTTTGGCATTGTATTAGAGACAGAGTATTTTACTTATTTTTTAAAAATATATTAGATAAACTAAGTTTGGTTTTCATGCTAATAAATCCTTAGGAGAGGGAGTTGGATTCATTCCAAGTAAATCAAAAGGAAATAATGGGGAAATATGAAGAAAACCTAAAGAAAACTAGAGAAGAAAATGACTCACTCAAAAAGGAAGTAGCAAGAGTCACTACAACGTTCTACAAATCTACACCTACTCCAAAAAAGATTCTTGAGGTTAGGGAGATTGTTATACTAATTTAGTTGACTTTCTTATTACCTTTGTGTTTGTTAATTGCTCTAAAAGAAACAGCTTGAGTAAGTTTTTACATTTAGTGGTCCAGTTAATTTGTATCCACACACCTCTAGTATTTACATGATGGTTGGCCTCTGGGTCGTTAAAATTAGCACTAATAAGGTTTATATTACCTGGCTTCTGTCTCGAGGATCGGAGACAGAAGCCAGGTAATATAAACCTTATTAGTTCTAGTATTTAATTTATGCTTAGGAAATATTTAATTTGTATTATATTCACTCTACAGTATTGGCCTATCTTCTTTTGTCCCAATTAATGTAGTAGAGCATTGATCTGGTTTGTTTGGAGATGCTATGAAATCATTGCATAAAAACTACCAGAAAACTATCGTGTGCAATATTAATGCTGCATTTTTAATCTAAGGCTATTCAAAAGAATAGAATATGTTGTATGTTAGGACAATACACACTATATCTGTTTAGTGTTTATAGTCCTAAAATACAACACATGGAAGCAAATAAAATATGGAAAAAATAACCACCTATTGTTTTTCTTACCACTTAAACTCACAGCACATCATGTTATTTACCAAAAAGCAAAATCTGCAACTAGTACATGCAGAAAATTAATAATCCTAATGTTAGCAACAGTATAGCAAAACCTAGGCTCTAATAGTCACAAGTCACAACATTTTATTTTATAAACATGTTTTTTTCACTTATTTTTATCATTTAGAAAGAAATTGAGGAGCAGAAAGCACAAATACACGACCTACAGAGGCAACTTGAAGACAAAGAGGCTTACTGTGAGAGACTGCTAAAAGTAAGTCAACAGACATCAGTATGTATGTAAATAAAATTACAGTTTTGTCTGTACATTGGGTAGAATCATATGTTTTTGGTTATTTTTATGTCTCATAGCCTAAGAAAGCCAAAACGAATCTTATCTCAATTTCTGTCTGTCTTTTCGTCTGTTACTGAAACTAGTTCCTCACTCTAAAGAATGTTATCACAAACTTCAAAATTGCACTAGACCTCTGGAGTTTATCTTACTTAGAGACCCATGCAACCAGATTGACTATCCTGGTCATCAACCTAAATATTATTTGGTGAGGTAGCCTCTGGATCACTAAATTTAAGTTAAAGGAGGATATCAGCTAGCTTACCTTGACAGTTTAGGTAGGCCATAGAACAAGTAGAAAAACACAGCTTTTGCACACAATATTTCGTCCCCTAAGGGACTTTGTCAAGTGTAGAGAAAGAGTTGTGATTGTTGGCATGGATGGCCACAGGTTTTTCTTTACCCGTTTTGACATCTTGGCGGTGGCCATTCATTCTTTCTCTTAGGGTGTTTTTGTCATGCCTATATATTGGGCCTGGCATTGTTGACATTCCAGTTGATGTATTAGGTTTGTTGTAGTGCAGGTGTGGTGTCATTTGATTCTGTACTCTGAATGATGAATATTGCTGTAAAAGGTAGTGACTGACTTATGAATATTGCAGGTCTTACATCTGTTACTGTCACATGGATATGAGCCTTGGGGGAGTGGTTCTGGTAGGTTGGTAGAAGGATCAGGTAGTTTGGGTTGGACGAGCAATATTCTTCAGGTTCGGAGGTTGTCTGCACACGAGACGGGGAGGTTCTTTGAAGAGATCTTTTGTTTGGCTGGAGTGTTGTAAAATTTTGAAGCCGGGATCATAACAACAACAGTTCACACAAAAGTCACTAACCACCAACAGTACCTTCACTTTGAGAGCTGCCACCCGAACAACACGAAACGTTCACTCCCCTACAGCCTAGCCCTAAGAGGGCCTCCGGATCAATAGTAAGGAAGAGGATGCCCATACCTGTAACCAAAAGCTCCAGACTGCCTTTGAGAATAGAGGATATCCACCTGCTTTTGTCGAATCCCAAATTAATGCAGCCACCAACAATTTCAAACACCAGAAACCTAAACCGCAAAAGAACGTTGAATCAGTTAACCTAATTACAACCTACCACCCTGTCCTATCATCAAAAATAAACAATCTCCTAAGCTCTGGCTTCAAAATTTTACAACACTCCGGCCAAACAAAAGATCTCTTCAAAGAACCTCCCCGTCTCGTGTACACACAACCTCCGAACCTGAAGAACATGCTCGTCCGACCCAAACTACCTGATCCTTCCACCAACCTACCAGAACCACTCCCCCAAGGCTCATATCCATGTGACAGTAACAGATGTAAGACCTGCAATATTCATAAGCCAGTCACTACCTTTTCCAGCAATATTCATCATTCAGAGTACAAAATCAAAGGACACCACACCTGCACTACAGAAAAACAAGTATATCAACTGGAATGCCAACAATGCCAGGCCCAATTTATAGGCATGACAAAAAACACCCTAAGAGAAAGAATGAATGGCCACCGCCAAGATGTCAAAACGGGTAAAGAAAAACCTGTGGCCATCCATGCCAACAATCACAACATGGACTTTGATAGTTGCTTCACAACTAAAGTAATAAAATCAATTCCAAAGGATGAATATAACCCTTCCATGTTAAGAAGGTGGGAACTGGCATTGCAGTATATAACCAACTCCAGAACTCCCCCCAACCTTAACCTAAGATAAACCTGTCCCAGCAGCTAGCTAAATACATAATAGGCCCAGTTTGTATATAAAATACTATATGCGTGTGTATATATAAAGTTGTGTTCATAGCTGTAAATAGTAATAGACTAATGAGATGTGGCAAACCTGCATAGTTGACAACAGCCATGACAGCAGCCATTTTGTAATTTATAAACTCTTTCTCTACACTTGACAAAGTCCCTTAGGTGACGAAATATTGTGTGCACTGTGTTTTTCTACTTGTTCTATGGCCTACCTAAACTGTCAAGGTAAGCTAGCTGATATCCTCCTTTTTCTACAATTCAAAATCCTGGCCTAGAGCCTTTCCTTGAACAAAATTAAATTTAAGTTAAATGGTTTATGTACCCTGGCTTCATCAAGTGATCCTTTTACAGTAGTTTACTACTATAGTTTCAGACTTAAAAGTCCATCATCAGGAAAAACAAAAACATCGATGAAGTCATGTAACAAAATTGGTTGACTAAGCCAGGTAAAATAAACCATTTAGCTTATATAGCCCTACAATCCGGGTTTGACTTAAGGGAGGTATAAATGAGGCAACGATGACATCATAGTTTAGTTAAAAATTTTCCGTGAACAGCGCTATAGTAGAGATCATAGCGCGTAGTTTTATTTCACTATTAGTTTTGCTAACAGTGTCATTTGGAGGCTTCTAATCCATGACGTCATACTTAATTATAAAATTAATCTTATAATTTTTTTTTATAAAATTAAACTGTCATATCCTAACCAAGTTAACCAAACGTGCTGATAATGAACAAATCGAATGAAGGTTCACTTATTGAAAAAATTGTTCTGTTCATAACATAAAATTATCAATGCCTCAAATTCAATTTTATAATTTTTTAATTATTAAATTAAATTGTCATAACCTAACCAAACTTGCTGATAATGAAAAAATCGAATGAAGGTTTACTAATCAAAAAAATAGTTCTGTTCATGAAATAAAATTAGAAATACCTCAAATTCTACCAAAAGATGTACTACAGTTAAGAAGTAATCGCATTCTAAGCTAAATCGTTGACAAAAAGAAAAAGTAAATGCTATCGGTGGGATTCGATCTGGCTACCTTTAGTGCATCGGCCAGAAACGCTTCCACTACACCACCGAGGCCAATGGCTCTATACCGTATCATTGCGGTAATGGTGTTCCTTTAGGAGAAGAGATCTGACAGCTGACGTCATCGAAGGCTCTTCTATACCTCCCTTAAATACCCTACAATCCTACCACCTCAATATAGTTTATAACTTGTATGATTTGATAAAAGGTGTTTATGTTAATTTTTTTTTTTATTTTCTTCAAACTAATGTCTAGAAATGGTTTTTAGGAAAATGAATGTCTGTGTTCTCAAATTGGACAAATACAAACTGCTATGGATGGTGCAAATAAAGAAAATGATTCCGTTTTTTGTGTAAGTTAAAGTTATAGTTACTTTTTGATGTTTTATTTGATGCAAAAATTCTTTAGTTAAGGGTGTAATAACGGCATGGCTCACAGGCGCTGGGAGTGTTTAGTTCCAGCATTGGCCACTACGCGCGCGACGTGTACTAAACCTAACTCGAACAAGCCCGTGTGCGAGCCTCTCTTGGAGTAGGAGTGAGAGAGAGCGCGAGATGTATTTCTGTCTCACTCTCACCTCACCCAACGTTGTTTGTTGTTACCACTCCCGCTTCTGTTCTGAGCCTCCGCGGCCCATCTCGTTGGAAAACGCATCACTGTTGGTTGCTGTCCCCCAGTTGACATTGTATACTGTTAAACCATTAACAAATATTCATTAAAAACTCTCGAAAAGTCTAAATAAAGTACTGTTTTATGGGTTTATTTATCGATGATTATGTTAATCAAATGTTTTCCTCCATTTGTTTTTATTTTATCTTTATGCCTTTGAAGTTGTAATCAATAATATAAATTAGGTTGGGATTTAAAACCAAAATCTCACCTTTTGAAAGTTGTACGGGACAAGCAAACATGGATTGGAAATTTAACAATATCTCAATATCTATTCAATATTTTTTTTCAAAGGTTTAACAAATAAAATTTTCAATTATTTACTAATTTAAGCTATTGCAATAATTGACTAATTTTACCATAAAAAATTAACTTAAAATTCTAGAAAAAGTACCATTTAACTGTAATAGAACTTGACCAAGTTAAATCTTAATTCCAGGAAAAATTATTTTTATTTTAATTACAAGGAATGGAATGATTTAGAGAAATTGTATACAAAAAGCAATGTTTGAAGCAGTTTTAATCAACTCTAAAAAATAACAAAGCAGGATCCCTGAGAATCGCCCATTATTTGTTTTTCTTTCTTGTCTTAGCCATATTTGCTTCTTCCTTACGAGTTTGGGCATCTATGATGTACGCTGGATCACGCACACGAAATGCCGATTTATTCTGCTATCTACCATTTCTGGTAGAAGGCAATAGTTGTAGAAACGGATAAGTTTTGGCAGCATTGTTTTACTCCACAACTCACTGTCTATTTGGATTCTCTCAATAAACAAGTCATTTGTTCTTGTATATACAATAAAATCACACCAACTCCTCTTCGTTATGTTAAGTTGGCCCTGTATTTGGAAGAAATAGTTGTGCGATCTCTTTAACATCAATCTCCCTTCCTTTAACTCCATACATGTTTGGTTTTTTTTAAAGATACAAATTCTTTCAAGTCTCCCCTTACCGACGACAAACATTTCACTTCAATAATACCTTCACTGCCCACTAGGCCATCAGGGCTTGCACCTAGGAAAGGCGTTTCCTTAGAACTATACCATCGAGGCCGATGGCATTGTCCCGTATCGTTACGGTAATCTTGTGAGCCGTTTGCGCCACCGCCACGGCACACGTAAACAGTGGCAGTGGCAACCCCGATCACACACAGGTGCCTTGTGCACATACACATGTACCATGTACCTTGACGCGTTTCAGTTTGTCACAAGTTGCATCGCATCCCATCACAGTTCGTTGGTGGGGGCGTGAGGAAATGTTTAACTAAACCCTATTTGAAGTTAGCATAAACTAGCTGTTACCCTTGTAGTTTTACTTGTATGTTGTACTAGTTTTTACTTGTAGTTTTCTCAAAAGTTCATGGGTACTTTTGGCTTCATATATATAGACGAGGTGTTAGCCCGTCCTACGTACGGGAATTCAGTAGTAGTCAGTTAAACCCATGTACGATTCAGATCAGCTAGTTTACACATATAAAGACAAAGTTTCTGAAAAATCATCTTGTAAACAAATGTGTGACCAAATATTTTTTTATTCCATCATAGGCCTATACGATATGCATTTTAAATCCGATAATCTATATAAATAAAATTAGAGTTTTGTCTGTACTTTGCTCAGAATTATATACTTTTAGGTTATTTTTACGTTTTATACATTAAAGAAGCAGAAACGAGTCTTATCTCTATTTCTGTCTGTCTGTCTGTCTGTCTTTCCCTTTGTCTGTAACACTCAAGATGGCATTTTACGCAATCTTCTCCGTGAAAACCAGAGTACCTATCAAGATCCAAGTCATTTTAATGTATTCACTGGATTGGCGAGAGTGTCTTTAGTGATTTAAATATAGCCTCACTACTTTGTAAATAAAATTACGGACGTTCAAAAATGCAGTTTTGTGCGATTTTTGTCAAATTTTCGTTCAATTTTTATCACATAATCGTCTATGAAATAACGAACAGCTGTTCGGATCAAGATAATTTTTTCTAGCTGTCAATGATATGTTTACAAATGTTGTTTACAAATACCGCAACCATTTCGAATCACGTTTTGAAAGCAAATCCCAACCAAGTGAGATTAAAAACGTTTTTCTTACATAACGGATTTAATTAATCGCAAGTGCAATAATATAGTCTAATAGTGTAACCGTAAATGAAATTAAATAACTAGACATCGTCCAAATCGGAACCAGAAATTCTTTGAGTATAAAATGTTTCTTGAGTTTTGACAACCAGAAAGAAGACCTTGAATCAGTGTTGTATAGGGCTGGACACTGAAATGATCGTCGCCAATAGCTTACAAAAAAGGTTTCCGCTCATTGACGGCGCTTCAATGGCGGTTGTGTAAAGTGTAAAGTAAAAAATCACAACTGCAGTGGGTGATTGTAACAGAGGTTTAACAGAGGAAGTGCTAAACTCGCTTTTCCAATGTGTCACTTTCTGTTTCTACTCACCGTGTGATGCAATCGCTGGACCATACAGCCAATAGGCCCATAGCTCATATCTTGGGTACGTAAGCCTACATATTTATTCATAACAACCTTTTTGACGACGATCCTTGATACCGGTACTTTTCCATAGAATACATGGCCTACCTACTTAAGAAATATAATTACAAATGACCAAAACCCCAACATTGTGTGATTTTCGTCACATTTCCTTCTAATGTTAATAGATATACTAATCATTGTTTAGAGAATGCGTAATCTATTAAATAACAAAAAGTTGTTTGGGTAAGGTTGTTTTTTTTTTCAAACTGACACCGATAAGTTTACGCTATAACTTTTTACGAGAAAATCCAAAAGCAAGAGATCAATAACCTCTGGACTAGATATTAATGTATTTAATTGGTCGGATGTACTAGGTTTTTACGTAGGTACTGGTTCTTTTCCTTAGAACCGTTGGTAGCTGCTAGAATCATTTTTACGTAGGTACCAACACATCACTGTAGTTTACAAATTAGTTATCGTTGGTGTTGCACCTTATTTATTAGAGCCGTCCGTATTCAATTTAAGTGATGTCTTAACTCTGTATAAGTTTTGCTTTTTCTGTCTGGATTCCAAATCTTAGCTTACCCGGTATGCTAAGAAAATGAAAATGATAACCTATTTGAGTAAAACATTTGTTGGGCAAACCATCATGAATTGTTTACGCCTTTATATTGTTTATGTATCAATAGTTCGTGGCCTTTTTTGGATTGTTGTGTGTATGTCTGTTGGTAACGCATTAATGTCCTTATTTCTCAGTGTTTCACGGAATGGACAAGAGCACCTTTGATACTGAAAATGTCAACCGGAATAAAGTGTTAAATGGTGAGGTTGAGGTAGTACTTTAAATACGTTTAAGTTAACCGATGTGGAAAGTAACTTTCAATTATAGGCCTACTTTAGGGCTACGCTTCATGGATCTATAAAACATTTTTTAGTTTAATCATTGGACATATGGACCATAACGATCCGGGTGACATTTAATTGCAAAGCATTTATTTTGGCTTGAACTGTCAGATACTGTATTTGCGAAGGTTTATATACAGGGTGGTCGCGAATAAGCGTTAAACTTTTTATTGGGTATAATAGGAGCATAAATGGAACTCGTAAACGTGGTTTAAAAAAATATATCTCATACACACCCCCAGAGATGACATGTTTTAAGTTTTTTGAAAAAAATTGACATAAATGCAAAAATGTTGCATTTTTTGGGTTAATTTAAAACTTTCAGCAACAATTAACTGTACCATCGCGTTCTCCACAAAATTTTGAATAAAAATACATGTATTTCAACTTGCCAAAATCTGCATAGCTACTTTTTAAATTGAATAGAAATAAAGATTTGTGTTTTTCAAAACTTTTTAAAAAAATACGTAAACATAAAACTTTTTTCAAAAAAGGTTTTAACGAGCAGCAAACACTTTTAAAAACTGCTCCATGATCTAAGGTTTCAAACAATACCATAAAACGTAATATTTGATCCCGATAAATGTCCGCTATTCAAGTTTGAATGGCGTAAAACACAGGTTACCCAAAACATTTTTACTACTGTCGCGTCGTAATAATGTTTTTTAGATTAATTAAAATAACACCATTTAAACGGATTTTGAAATCAATTTTTTGGCAATCTTTTTTCAAACTGGATGAATTAACTCAGCTATAAGGTTAAGTTTATACCAATTCAAGTAAGATATGTACCTATGATATGAAATTAAAAATTAATAATAATTCATTTCGTAGTAGAGAAATTAGTTTTATTATTTACAGTACAGCCATGATATGAAACAAAAAAAGACTTAGTCGTTTTCTCTTATTTACACTACTGCATACTTCACTAAAACGACAAGGCTGTGCCCTACAACCTAAAAAAAACACGATACAGATATTTGATAAACTTCAACTTAATAAATAAAAGCAGCCTTAAAATATGTTAAAATGAAAATATTACAGTAGTTGGGGATTAAATTGAACACATGAGACAAATAATTTAGTTTCAGGTAATACAAATGTTCAACATTTTGGATAGATTGTACAGACATTTCATCAAATTTTAATAAAAAACACAGTTAGCCCTAAAATATGGTAAAATTAAAAGATTAAATAATGGATTAAAATAAACAAAAAGCTATGAAAGACACTATTGATTTTGGGGTAAATATTCATGTTCAAATCTCTCGGAGAAGTGGAAAGTTGTGTGGACA